TCTTCTTCTTCTTCTTCTTCTTCTTCTTCTTCTTCTTCTTCTTCTTCTTCTTCTTCTTCTTGTATTTTAGTGAAGGGTCTACAGGATGTTCAGGGTCTCATTACTAGTTAAGACTCGTGATCTGCCTAGTTATAGCCTCCCAAGAGCTGGGATTATAGACACGTGCCACTATGCCCAGTCTCAATTGTCATCTCATCAAGCCTCAGGGGTGGGGCTGGCATGGCAGGCCTGGGGATCGAATCCTCAGCCCCTGAGCTTGCTTGCAGGTGCTTTAATCTGCTGAGCTATTTGGCCTGCCCTCCAAAGCCCACTTTTTAATACTGTCACTTTGGTGGTTGAATTTCAGCATACGAATTCGGGGAGCATGCAAACACTGAGACCATAGCGGGTGTTTAAGTCCATTCACACACAATGAATAGAGACTAGTAGAGACTGCTGGTCCGGACCTGGGCGGCGCAGTGCCTAAAAGGCCGCACTCCGTGTCGCTTGTCCCACAGGTCCTTAGGCCAGAGGTGGAGCGAGAATATTTGAAAACATTCTGATGTCAGGACTCTGGGCCAAGTCCTGATTCTGAACCTAAAGATGTAAAGCCCTAAATTGGGAAATAACAAGGGAAGAAGGGTGAATTACCTCCCAGGCAGCCTTCTAGGTGTCAATGGCCTCCTCAAACAGCTTCAGACTCCCGTGGCCTTTCCATTTGAGGCACAAACTGAGAACTTACTTATTGGTACTTACTGAGCTTTGTCCTTCTTACTTGAAATAGCCCAATACCAGCTGCCTAACCCAACGCGTTATTAGACTGAGTAGAGAGAACAGCTAAGCTACTCAGAAGCCTAACTTGACCCCAGCTTGCCGCCAACTCTAAACTGCCTGCGCCGTGGGATAGCTAGCTTCACGTTCTAGCATGGTTCCCAACGGTAGGGATAGCAGTCCTGCCCCACATTCAGCGACTATCTGTTGAGTGAATAATCAGCGGGACAGGAGTAGTATATCTCGGTTCACGTCATATCACAGGATGCTAATGCAATATCTAGCTTATCATTTTGAAGGTAATATGAATGCATCCCCCCTTCCCCTGGACTCAGGGAACATACATTGCAGTGGTTTACTGCTTGTACATCTTCTAAAACTCTGGAAACTCTCAGAAATGGGGGACTTGAAACTGTCTCATTGCTATATGTTTATCAATAAAACTTTGAAAAAAAAATACACACGCAAGTAAATAAGGATTGGATCACACCCATGTATGATAAAATGTCTTTTGTCAAAAGGCAAGGTGTAAGAATGCAATTTTACAATTACATTTTTTTTTTTTTTTTGGAACCGGGGATTGAACTCAGGCCCTTGTGCTTTTCAGGCAAGCGCTTATTCTACTGAGCCATCTCCCCGGTCCGTTTGATTAGCATTTTTTTTTTTTTTTTTTGCTGCGGAACCAGGATTGAACTCAGGCCCTTGCGCTTGCCAGGGAAGCGCTTATTCCATTGAGCCATCTCCCCGGCCCTAAGAATGCAATTTTATTTTAGAAATAGATTAATTTATATAAACAAATATTATGAGGCTGTGTTAATGAGACTGTTAGTGTTTCAGCGGCATAAAAATGTAAAATATTTTTGAATCTGTTTGTTAAATAAAAGTATATTCCAACCAAAAAAAAACAAAAAACAAAAAAAACAAAAAACAAATAACCACTAGGAAGGCAGTATGCAATGTGTTAATTATTGGAACTGTCCCACCAATTTGATTTGAAACTGTCTCACTGCTATTTATTTCTCAATAAAATTATGGAAAAAATAAAAAAGAATAAATGAGTAGTGCTAAAAAAAAGAAATGGGGGACTTATTTTTATCATATGTAATATTTAAGGCATGAATGAATGAATCAGTTTTATGCATTCAACAAATAGTTGTTGAGCTGCAAGCAATACTCTGGAGCTACAGCTGTGCTCAGTCCAGATGTGGTCTGTGATCTCACAGAATTGTGGAGGAGGAGGAGACAATGTCTGAATGAGTAAATGAACAAGGTAATTTTACATGGTGAGTACAATAAAACCCTCATAAATCTTATCAATGTAAATGTCTTTGGCATTTTCCTATAAGGAAAATGTAGTATGTAATTTGGCTCTAAATTCCTTCTCGGTACAACAGATCTCTGCAGAGCAAAGAAGGATAGACTGCAAAGATATATCCAAATTACTAACTGAAATGATCTAGTCCTCCGAAATGAGACAAACAGTAGCATGGCTTAAATGCTTTAGCTTGGCCTGCAATTTGCTAATAAGAGACTGGAAGTGACATGCCATAAAACTACACAGGTTTTTTAACTGAGAGGTTTACAGAAGGTCCACAGCAATTTTTTGCCCTATAATTGGAAGCTTAAAGGTACAAATCTCAGATCATTTGAATAAAAAAGCTCCACACTCCTTCTACCTTTTTTCCTTTCTTAAAACTGTTGGAAAATATCCTAGCTAGAAATAATCTGCTATAGTTCTGTAACTCCCAGTCAATAAAGAATTGAGAACCACTGACAGTTAAGCCCCTACTGAAGGTACCCACTGCACTTTTAAAGTATGTGCATATAAGAAAAAATTTTTTCCCTCAAAAATGTGATAAAAGTATTCTGGAAATACTGTTCCACATTCCTAAATGATAAAAGAAAAACAAACTTAATTAGCCTAAACCAAATTACACCCTTTGATGCACACAGATGACTCCCACTGAGATAATTATACAAAAGGGAAGGTGGTATCTGGATCTCAGAACGACGTATGTTTTTGGAAGGGCAGAAGCCAGTCTCCAGCATGTACACACACCTTCTCCTGCCAGATAGCATATTTGTGCGTACCTGTGGTATTTGGGCTTCTCTTTCTACTCCCTAAGAAGAGAAAGGTGTTGAGAACTGAGCTGACAAGTAGGAACTGAGTGAATAGAAGTCAGGGGGAAGAGGAAGAAAAAACTTCACTTTTCTCCTTGTTCAATGATCTCTGCACGGGGCTTTCAGAAGAACTTACACCTTGGGGGTTCCTGTGGTGGTGACAGGAGCTTTTGGTCCTCTGTGAGTAGTTAGTAGTCTGCAGATGATCTGGAAGTGGGAAAATAGAGGATGGGCTGTGAGATAGCAGTGCCACCAGTGGGTACTTCTCTACACCAGCAGTGCTTGGTTTTCTTTCCGATTATTACTCTGTGGACAACTATGCTGTGGAGGGGGCCAGAGAAAGACAAGAAATGTTACTCTTTTTTCTCCATAGCTGTATTCCTGTTTCCAATTAAGCTTCAGAATCCTAGAATGGAAAGCACTGATGTTTAGTGGATAAGGATGTACATTCAAATTTGTTTTTTTTTTTTTGAACAAATAGACTTAGTACATGTTTAGAATATTCCACCCCAAAATATAGAGTACGTATTCTCAGCTAAACATAGGAGGTTCTCTACAATGCACAATCAAATTTGGAATTAAGTCAACTTCTATAAAATAATCAAAATAAATTAAACATTCAAGCCAGGCATCTGTGAAAATAGTAGGGCTCAAGTTATTCCAAAGGAATCACTCTTCAGAAAAGAGCCATACAATTTCTATTCTTGCTCTTAATGTTTCATATATATATATATTTTTTTTCAGAACACATTAATCCAAGTAAGATGCTACCCACAATGTCAGTTGTGCAGGCTCCGTGTATCTTTCTGTATGCACTTATAAAGCTGGAGTCAGCACATACATGCAAGCTGAGAGCCACAGCACATGATGCTTCATTCCGCATGGGCTAATTGCTAGGAGGCTCCCAGTCCGTCGGGTTCACAGCTTAGCTATTCATCGTCAGACAGGGTGTCTGTTTGCCCCTTCCACTTCAGTTTGCAGACCAGTGCCAGACTGGCATCTTGTCTTGTGACTTGATAACAGATTCCATTAATAGCCCGTCCAGGGCTACTGACAGCCAGTCCCTCTCAGCTGGGGGCATCTGGCAATTAGTGTCAGCCTGAAGAACAGTAATGGTTGTGGATCCAGTGCCAGGTCATACATAGAGGCTGACTGTGAATTCACACGCTGTATGCTCAAAGCCATGCAAAAGAGGACCTTTGAAAGAAAACAAGATAAGAAAGGATAGTGGGTACGGTCTTTCTCAATATCTGCCATCCCCACTTTGCCAACTCTGGGGTGAAACAAAATCATCATTGTTTCATGGGGTTGGGACGATGCCTACTTCTGTGTTCTCTTTCTCTCTTAGCACATTGCTCATTCTCAATGATTATCATTATCATTATTAATGATGTTAATAATTGACAACATAGTAAATAACTTGAAAAGAGCTAGTTTCCTGAAGAAAAAAATAAGTCACTGTAATAATGAGTCTTTTACATGGGAATAAATAGCACATTTGTGTCTTGGTATTTTAAATTATATCTTTGCTTGCTAAGGCTGGAGGGCATAGGGTGCAATTTAAAACTGCAATAAATGAACAAATGAATTAGCATTAGGAAAAGGGTGCATGTTAATCAAAACCAGCCATTTGGACTTTGGGCCCTTAATTGCATGTAGATTTTCTAGTTTGCTTCTTTCTCCCTAATATCTCTTGTTTCTAGATTTGCAGAGCTTGCTTTACCCATGAGAGAAGGAAAATGTTGCTTACTGGTGCTGAGGCTTTAGGCCATGGCACATAAAAGAGCCTCCTTTTGAAGGTAACACCCCTTAATAAAGCTAAAGCTGGAAATGCAAATATAACAAAAGAAGGAGCTAGAAGGAGCTACAAGGAGCTAGAAGCTTCTGACCCAGCCAGCTTCTCTCACAGACTTTTTCCTCCAATCACTAACAGAAAAGTAGATAGACCTGGGTCATCAGTCTCTGAGAAGTTGAGATTTAATCATTTTTTTTCCGGGAAACTTGCCAAAGATTATTACCCAATAGTTTTATTATGAAAAAAAGTATGTTTTTTTTTTTTTTCCTATCTGTATCTTGAACCATTTATCTGCCAGGTGAACATATTTACTTTGGTAAGTAATTTCAATTAAGCTGGGATTAGGAAAAAAAAATTCCTGCATCAGGAGACAATTGTTCAAGTTTTTTTTTTTTTTTAACCACTTCTCTTCCAGTTACTTACAGTTGTATCTGACATAGGAATAAAAATTCAACAATGATCTATGGAGCTTGACAGGTATTTCTTTTTGAAGTGGCTTGGCATGAATATATATTTGCAACTGAACTCATTTGTTGTAAAAGATGGCAGAGTAGATTTTACCTAGAAAATACATTGCAATTCTAAATATATATATTCTCTAGGGTAGCGTTCAGTTTTTGGAAGTTGGTAGAAAAAGCTAGAAATTCATTTCAGCTAAAGAAATTTCTTGAAATATTAGCTCAGTAGGCAAAGTGTCACCTGGTGAAAGTAATAATAATAAAGATGATAATATCTCCTTGAAAAACAGATTGAACAACATTTCATACATTTTTCCCTCTGTGGAGCCCCAGGGCCTGGCTTGCTATGGCTTCAGATTACGAATTTACATTGCTCTTCACGATCTCATTTCCTTAGGCTCCTTTTCTTCAGGCTATAAAAGCAACTTACACATATTTGTAGAACCTTTTACTCTACTCTGTTTGCAAACTTTGCTTCCCTGTCTTTATCTGTATCTACACAACAGGAATTTAATTCCTTTATCTATCCAATGGGAAAATTTCTTGTACTGTGCTTAAAGGTTGAATTCTGTCTTTGTTCACCGTTCTTCTTAGAGCTACTAAGCATGATTCCTGAGTGGACAGCTCATTTTTCTAGGTGTCCTACATTCTTCTGATTAAACTGGTTGTGTGAATGCCTTGTTGAAGCACCCCTTGTATTTACTTCCTAGGCTTTTGGAAAAAAATAACACAAAATAGGTGCCTTAAAACAACACAATGCCTTTTGCATACAGTTGTAGAGGGCGAAAGTCTAAAATCAAGATGTCAACAACGCTGCTTTCCACTGGAGGGTCTGAGGGGGACTCTGATCCCTGTCTCTTTCCTGGCTCCTGAAGGTTGCTGGCAATCCGTGGCATTTCTTGGCTTGTGTTAGACAGCTTCTGTGAAAAATACCAGAGCTAATCAACTTAAAAGGAGATATATTTTATTTTGGCTCATAATTTTCGAGATTTCAGTCCATGGTTGGTTGGTCCCATTGCTTTGGTGCTGTGGTGAGCCATGTATCATGACAGGAACACAAGGTAGGGGAAGCATACCTCAGGGCAACTGATAAATGAAAGTGAGAGGAAGAGAAGTTTGGCTCTTTCCTGATATCCCCTTCAAAGACACACCCCTGCTTATAAATTTCCTCCCACAAGGCTCCACCTCTTAAAGTTCCCAACACCTTCCAGTAGTACCATGGACTGGAGACTAAACCTTTAACATGCAGGTCTTTTGGGGATACCTCAGATCCAAGCTATAGCACAGTGTAACTTCACTCTCTGCTAATTCCCATAGTGTCCTGCTCTCTGTGTGTTTGTGTTTCTTATCCTTTTCACTTATAAGGACGTTAGCATATTGGACTCCATTCTATTCCACCCCAATCCATCCTGACCTCATCCTAACTTGATTAGATCTGTAAAGATCCTATTTCTAAAGAAGGTTATATCCATAGGCATTGGAGGTCAACACTTCAACTTATCTTTTGTGGGAAGGGGACACAGTTCAAACCACTCCAGTACAATAATCCTTCTTTATATGATTGATAGGGCAATGAGACTCTGTTTTCTTTCTGTGACCTCATTTAAACACAAATCACTTAAATTCACTTAAACTGTAGATTAGTCCCCTCCTTCCCCGCTGCCCTGTGGTTAACCATAAAATATACCAAGGAAATCAAGACCATAAAAAAAGGAACTAACAGAACAGCTTAGGAAGTAGGGTAAATATCAAACCTTAATATCATGTGACAAACAAGTAGTCAACAATGCCTGGAGAATGCAAGAATGTAAACCTTTTTATAATTGTGTGACAATTCTGCAACATTCCTGTAAGTGTGGAAATGTGATTGCTATGGATACTGACCAAGTATATAACCTGAAAGCAACGTTCAGGCCAGTATCAACAATTTGGGAGTCCTGATCCAAAGTCAGAATGTAGGTTGCGAGCTCACAATAAAGCTTCGTTGTTCCTGCACACTCTTCTTTTGTGGGGGCTTATCTTTGCTTGCTGTCATTCTGCCATGACATGATCACCCTTCTCTGTTTCCTTGTGAGCTCTCTGAGTACAGTTTCTGTATTGACTATATCCCAGCACTTGATAGACCATGTGCTTGGTGAATAATGATTGCTTAATGAATAAGCAAACACAATAATAATTAGTGGGTTGGAGTTAGAAGAAATGGTGGTACTTGATAGATGAGGCCCCCTGACTTAGACTTAGGTATCTATTCCTGTGGAATGTTGTCTAGAGTGGCTAGAAGCACTGCAGCTTCACTTGGCAAAACAAATTTTAGTATTTCAACAAACCTCACAGAAATGATAGGAATATCCAAAGAAAGGCTACACAGGCTAACCAAAATGCCACATTTCTTTGCTTTTAACTCGGAATTCATATTAGACAGGAAATGAGGGCAGTTCAGAAAATCAAGTGCTCAGAGATGTCACTTGATGTGGCATCTCTGAGCACATCTACATGATGTGGCATCTTCTAGAGTCCTAATCAGGGCATGGACATGTGTCCTTGGTATTACCATCACTATTCTCATTTATAGCAAGCACCTTCTTTTCCAGGATTGATCCACCAACTCTCTTTATTATTATTTTTTCTTTCTTTTCCTCCTCACTGCCCCATTCTACCTCCAGGTTCTGTTTCCAGTTTTGTTGTAATTTCCTCTGCACTGTGCCCTTTTCTCATTCAGCATCAAGCCTTTTCTGTCTTGGGAGAAAGGAACAGCTCTCATAGCAGAAGAGCTCCATTATTGGCCTTTAATAAAGTGAACAGTAAAGGAATTTGGAAAATCTGCTCAGTATAAAGGCCTGGCTTGTTAAACTATTGTTTTGCTGCATAATCCTATTTTGCATGTCCAACTATCAGCCTCATCCTCTTTCTGTGTTACAGCTATAGCGATTTCAACTTTTAATCTCCCTGTAGGCAGATGGACACCTTGGGTCTACTTGTACAAAAACAAATAGGAAAAGCTGATTAAGTGTTTTCAAAATACCACTTAAATATATACTAAGTAATTACAAGTTACTCAGTGACAAGTGCCGAAGAAGAAATTGTGAGGAGGCAGCAAGGGTGATGAGGTAGGAGGTTTGAAGAGGACTTTTCTGCTCACCAAACAGTGTGGAAAAGGACTAGAGCAGAGGGAGCCCCAAGAAACCTCTTATTCCCTTTACCAAAGCATGGATAATAGTTTACCATTGCTTTGATCAGTCCATTGCTTAGATTTAGCCTGCGATTTCTTACACTTTTTTTCTTTTAGACAAGCATTTTTCAGGTGGTTTAGCCTTGAGTAAAACTTGTGACACTGTCAGAGACCCTTATCCAGTAATTTTTTTTTTTTTAATTTTGAAAAGCATGTCATTTCCATTGAATCTGAAAGAGTGAGGAAGAAGAATCAGAATTCTTTTGTAATTCTATTGTTAGGGCTCAGAATGTGATACCCCAAAGTACAGGTGCTTTGTCATAGTGAATAGTTTTGAGCTACAGGAGTCAGAAGGGCCCCAGAAGTAAAGACAATCTTTGCCCTTCTGTTTCCCTGTATCCAGCCCTTCTTCTCGCACTGAAGTGGTTATAGAAACCAGAATTC